GTTTAGTTGACCGATGCGTAGTTAGCTTTCCCTTCCCTTCCCTTCCCTTCCCTTCCCTTCCCTTCCATTGGCATGGTGTCTTCTGCATGTCATTCCAGAAGCACAGAATTATTTTTAAGGTGCTGCTAATGAGAAGTTATCACCACTTGGCTTCCTCAGTGCATGTCAGGGACTGCAGAATGAAGAGGGGATTAATCAGTACTGCTTTGTTCCGGGTTTTTGGAGGCATTTTAGTGCTGGTGACCTAAAAATTTCTATGTGCTTAGGTTTGAAAAGCAGGGGAGTAGTTGGCTTTTCAGAAAAGTAGGATTGCAGTTTGCAAGAGATAACCAAGTGACCAAATGTCTTTTCTTTTTACCTCTTCTTTCTATCCCCGGAGCTTGAACATGGGATATGTATTAGACTTTCCATGGACCCTCTGCTATTATTATATACTTAGACCAAATAGGTCCAGTTCAAGAACTGCTAAGTATACTAAGCAGAGAGCAACCAACCTCCTTTCAGCCTTCTAAGTATATCTTTGACACTAGCCACTTTTTGCTGCCTCTTAGGAGGGTCTTTACCTAAGTTTCTTACCTGTTATCAAAGGTGGAATGTGTATTGCAGGTGTATCTTTTCTTCTGGGCTTTTTCTGCTTCAGTTCAGTGATTTGAGAGACTGGAGTCACTCTCTCTCTCTGTGACTTCTCTGTGATACCATACCTTTTCAGCAGATTTTCAGATGAGTCTGAAACTATGCCTGTAAGCAAGCAATAAAGAAAATGCTACTTTAGCCCGTTTATATTGAATAAACTTCCACCTGTGTGGCTCTCCCAAAGACTACTCTGAAGTACAGTGGCACAACTGCATGATCTGCTGCATGATGTACCCACCCTATATTTCTTTCAAATTAATTATTTCCCATAGGCTCTAGAAAATGGCGCTATCAGGCCAGTTGGCTTCTCATTGTACATAAGGCACTAAAAATCATGGGACAGATGAGTGTAATCTCCTATTCCAGAACTTTAGACATCTTACCACAGTAACTTAATTACACAGATGCTCAAGAGGTTAGTTGGGAGCAATATGACCACACAGAAGCAGCTGTTTTAACTAGTGAAAGAATGTTTTCTTTATAATATGACAATTGCAGGAAGAAAACACAGCTCTCCAGCCTCTGAGCTGCTCTTCCTAAGAGAGAATTGCTGATGGAAGGTACATGTGAAAACTGAACAGAATCAAATATCTGGATTACAAATACTGGAAAATCCCAGTTGCTTGGTTTTGACCTGGTGAATTGTTGCAGATATACAGAGAAGCATACAAGTAGTTACTGGCTAACTTCTCCATGTATGTGCATGGGAAGAAGAACTCAATAATATTAGAGCACAGCTCTCTTGCTGGAAATTATAACACTGATTGCTTGTTAGCTGAGAGTGAAAAACACTTATTCCCACTGCTGTTCTTGGATCATTGGGTTTCAGTAAGTCTCCTGCATATTCTTCCCTTCTCCAGGTTCGTGGCATTTGGGTCTCAAACATCTGTATTTGTGCCACCGCAGGGAGCATTCCAAAAGCCCCTTCATTGCTGTGATGTTTTCTGGCTTCCTGAAATACCTACCCTTTGCCAGAGTCCCCATCAACACATGATCCCTGTGATTTCCAGGAGGACCATCCTGCAGGTGGCTTGTGTGTTTGACTGGTCTACTCCCAGTGTCAGCCCCAGCCTCCTGCTGTCCACTGGATGTAAGTTTCATGAGAAAGTGCAGGGGCTGGACTTGATCCTTTTTGATTTTGGACCATATCCAATTGGGACATCTAGTATGGTTCTGCAGCTACCAATAAATACACATAATTTCAGACATAAATGTAACATTATTTATCAGCAAGACAGTGAGATCCAAGGAAGCATGTTTTTCAGATCATAAACCTAACCACCTTGGTATTCCCAAAAGTGGGAACAAACTAACTAACATGGAATATCTTTGAGAAAGTCAGATTTTGTGTTCACCTGCTGTCCAAGGTGCACATGCAGGAACCTGTGTTCCTGTCTGCATCTGAAGGGACATAACTGTTTGGACGTTCCATGGACATTCACCCTACTCCAGTCCCCAGACATGAACTGGGATTTCAAAGTTGAGAAATTTACTGTTCACCTGTTAGAGGTGGTGGAGTGTGCAAAGCCGGTGTATCTTTTCTCTTTGGCTTCTTTTGCTCCTGTTCGGTCTTCTGGGGGGCTGTGAGAGTTTTACCTTTTCTTGGTTTATTTTTGAGGTCACAGCTCTTAATCAGCTGCTCTGAAAGATCTTCTGCAGGGAAAAATATAATAGAAATTAAAACTTAGGGAAGGTAAAAAAACAAATGGTGAAAAGAATCACTTTGATAATAGTGCTTTAGTCCAAATGCCCTGGAAGAAAAATCTCTTAAATATTTAGAAAGCAAACAAAAGAGGGCTCTGTGCCATACTACATGGGAGTCAAGTGACTGAGGTAGTCCTTCTGTGCTGTTGGCAGTAGACATAAAACAAAGAGAGAGAGTTGTGGGCAGCTTGTGTGTTTACATGTCAGAGGAGAGGCTGCATCATTGTGTACAGAGGTTCCATAGCCATCCCTGTTTCATCCAGTGGTAACTGTATGGATTGTATCTTCAAGAGTTACAAGGCCAGTTTTGTGGAGGAAAGTTTTACATATATAGGGTCAGTCTGAGCTATTTGTAAAATGAAGCAGTTCATATATTGCTCCCTTCAAGAGTTAACTTTATTTCCAGAGCTAATGAGCAATTGGTATTTGCTTTTTATTGACATAACATGACACTAGATTTTTGGTTTTCCCTTAAAACAAGCCTTTACTCAGATCACTCAGAGGGTCACCATGACTTTTTCTGCAAGAGTCTGTATTTCTGGGTGCTTATGCAAGCTGAAAATACAGAAGATAGCTTGTTGTGGTAGTACATCCTTCTCCCTCAATTCCTCTTTAGGCCTGCTCTACAATCTCAGCAGCTTCTGATAAGCCTTAGTTGAAACAGCTGAGTGGTGAAATGCTCCTTGGTGCCAATTGGGTGGTGAAGCATCTATGACCATACTGGGTGCTCTTTTATGGTAAAGGTAGGAACTATTTTGACCATACCAGGAACATGAGCAGTCTGACCAAGGTAAGAACAAAGTATAAGCAGTCATTCTTATTAGCCTCGGTAAGTCATTTACCCAACTGAAATGGTACCATTGTTATGAGACCTTTTAAAAAAATGAATTATAGCCTGAGTGTAATAGTACTATTTTTACTGGAATTTTTGGGAAAAATCTTGTGGTGCTACAAGCAGCAGTGTAGCAGCAAGGAGAGCTGTTTGAGCTCTCCTCGAACACAGTGGGCCTCTGAGTGGGATGCCTCTTGGAGCTTGCAAACCCTCAAGTTTGCAATACTTGAAAGACTGTTGCTGATAACAAGGTCTAGGCAGATATCACCCCCATGCATACATACTCCTTGAGGTGCAGCCCTTGCCAGTTGAGAAACACTAAGGGATTTGATATGAGTACTGCACTGAGCCTGACAGGAATTTTTGATAGGTACCTTTACACTAGTTAATATAGATGTATACATCTTTTTTGTGTGTTCATGCAAGTGAATAGATTATGGTATGAATGTTGTTATTTTGAGTATATAATTAGCTCACTGCTATAATTGTAGCAAATCCTATTGAATTTTTTTTAATATTAAATTAGTCAATGACTAAGTGCTTTTGCACCCTTTTCTTACATCCATATTCTCTGCACCCTTACCCTCTTGCATCCCCAATCTTCATGTAAACCATTCCAAGTTGTTTCTAATCCAATTTACTTATGTATGCTTTGTCTACATAAGTAATAGAATGAACCTTGCCACTTAAATCTTTTGAAGCTGCATTCTCATGAATTCATATTAAACCCTGCTTTTTGCCAATAACCTTGACAATGATTCTTTAAGCATTTTAACCGCTCATTTGTGAACCTCTCATTAATATCATCACAGAAACCTATGTTTTGAATTCTTAAAAGCAGCTTGTTTGCCTTCAGCTGGCCTCCCCACATCATTACCCAGCCCCTGACTGCAGACTTGCATGCAAGTACTTCATTCCAGGCTCTTTCACACTATTTAAGGCAGCTGTTTTGTCTGTGAGCCTGCAAGTAGATGTGGGAAGGATGGCCTCTGGGTTAAGTCCCTGGACATGTGGGGTTTTTTTCCTGGCCTTCACAGTCTTTCTTCATAGTCCTAATGAGCTCATTTATCCTCCCACTGCCTCTGTTTTCCAACAGTATAATGAAACTCATTCTCTATGTATTTAAATAAGCAATTTTATGGACCAACTATGGTATACCAGCAGTTGTAAAAACTGCTGGTATACCATAATGTCTGTGGCTAGAAATGCCATGTAGCAGAGACAGAACTAGGATACATTCTTTGCAGTACTAATAAACAAAATTTATAAAACCCGTGGTGCGACACTTTTTTTTTTTTTACAAGGAAGTGAAATTGCATTTGTCTTTCATTATTGTTGTCACAAAGGTAACAACAAGCAAACAGATTTTTCTCTCTGGGTTGCTAAATCTTCAGGACAATTTTGTAAGATAAGAGTGAAATCATAGCACTAGAAGCAGAGGCAAAGACCACGAATATGCAAAAAGCTTATCTATCAAGCATGAAATCTGGTATTCAGGAGTGTGCCAGTGCAAAGACAACCCTAGTATGCTCATTGTAAAAGCTGTATGAAGTAGCTTCAAGAAAGGAAACTGATGATGGAGAAAAGTGTGGGAAGTAGTGAAGGAAAGATGATTTTCAGAAAGCTGGAAAAGCAGGTCTTAGAAACAGAAGAGCAGAGAAACTTAGAACTAGCTACAGCTGCAAAGTCTGAAGGTAGAAAAAGTTACAATAGTATATCAAGCAAGGACATGAAGCAATAGCTTGAGTTTTGGGCTGGGCTAAGACAGAGCTTAAGACTGCAGAAAATTATGCTTACCAAGATAGTAGATGGTTTTAACAAGCAAGCATTGCGTTAAACAGGTGTACGTGTACTTTTAGTAATTTTCTAAAACAATTGTCTGTAAGCTTTAGCAATACACTATTGGCTAGAAAGAATTTTAAAAGCTCTGTAACAAATATGTCTTTGGCTGTTGCTGGCAGAGCTTTTGCCATCTTTCTATTGTCTCAACCATGTAATGAGGCTGATGCTGCAATAAAAGCTCAAGGAATGTCTCCCAACAGTCCCGTATCATTTGTGAAAAGAAAAAAACTTCTCAGCACAGAAAACATTTTTAGAAAGCTGTCTCAGTGATGGCAAATGGAATGCTTGAAATCTTTTACTGAAATTGCATATGGAAGATATTTTCAGGGAAAGCTCAGCTATCTCCTAGCTTTCAATTTACTGTGGTATAAATGAAGAAACTGCTCTACCAGGGAAAAGATCAATGACTCTTTTTCCTTTCTCCTCTTTAATTAACTTCCCTCTAGTGCTTGATCGGATATTTATATGCAGGAAAATGCTCCTTGTCTTTCCATCTGGTACTAGAAGTGTCAGCAGAAGGTGTAATCTATCTGTTTTCATGGGGGGTTAGTTGTATCACTGGACTTTATGATGTGAAGACAATACATCTCATTACAGCAATGACATCATCAAATAACACTTACCTAAATGGTTACACTGTGAATCTTGCTTGTCCAGTCTGTCATCTGGGATATCAAGTGGCTGAACACACTCTGTTGACATCATTGAAACAGCCTTTTCTCCTCCTATGAAGATACTACACCAGATTAAGAAAAAAAATTAACAATAAATTCAGCAGCATGACATAAAACAACATATTGGTGTTACCTAACAACTGATGAGGAGTTCTTGTCTTTTTTTACTCACACATGCTGTGATTCACTGCCTTGGTTACACACAGAGTAACCTGTTTTTCCACCTACCTTGCTGTAAGCGACCCATACTAGCATAGATTGACTCTACAGAAAAACATACTTTTTTTTTTTTTTTTTTTTTAGCATACAGAAAGTGCTATCTCATACACAAAGTAAATGCTAAGGACCAGGATGTTTTGTTTTGGTTTTCTTCTCCATTTTTTCTCAACAGTAAACCAAGGATCATATTTGGTATTTATTATATGAACCAACTTTAATCACAAATTCTGTTGACTTGGTCTTTTAAGTCCAGCTCCACTAAGAGACCTTACATACCCCAGAAATATCAGGTGTAAAGTGCTGCCTCAGAAAGATAGCCACTGCTCACAGATCCCAAAGCCATCATGAAGTAAACTTACTCATCACTTTGGTAAGACCATGGGAACGCATTTCACGCAGCTATTTAAGTGTCCATGCTCTGTAAGTCTCACTGGATTGCTGTTTGGGCTATTTTGTCTCCCTTTACTTACAGCTGCAGTGGGTGTAGAAGCCCATCCTCACCCATCCTCCTACCTGAGCTTCCCCAGCACCTTGCAAGCTGAGACTTGATCCTGGGGCTGCCACAGATGCCACCACAGAAAAAAGAAAACTAGACCATTTTTCATTGCTGATCATTTCTATCGTTGCTTAGCAGAAACTCATCAGAATTACAAAGGCAATGTTAAAGAGAAACAACCTTCAACCTGAAGATGCAGTCCAAGTGATCTTGGTATCTGCTTTGATCCAGCAACAGCTGTGGTAGTTTTTTATTCACAACCTCCCTTCTCCATTTTCAGGGAATAAGAGCAGACTATGACTTCATTGCAAGGAGGAGAAAGGCAATTAGGAAAAGAAAAAAACTAGAGATGTTATGAATAGAAGATGAAAGAAGTAATTGAGGAAAAAAAAGAGGAAGGGGAGGTAGAGAAGGAAAGGCAAATAAAAGAGAAAAGTAAGAAAAGAGGCAGCTGTAGAATAACAGTGAAAAGGAGGATGGGAAAATAGGAGACTAAACTGTGGTAGTTTGGTTTTGTCTTGCTGGAGGAAAAGAAATTACCTTATTATTTCTCTATAAATTACAATAGTTTTTTGCTGACAAGAAACAGAACAGTAGGGGAGTTAATCTCATTTCCATGACTAAACTTGCATCTATGTAAAGAACAATTAACTCTTGAACAAAATATTTGCAAAAGAAGATAGGAAAGGTTGCACTGATGTAGTTCTTTAGTGGATGGAACACATGTAAATGACAGTGACTCACAAATAAATGGAGTAACTCTGCTGTTATGATTGTATGTGGTGGTTTAGATAAGCCTTTGCCTTTTGCCCAGGCCTCTGGCAGCAGGCGAGTAGCTTTATCAAGGTAGCCAGCACCCCAAAGCTCACTCTCATTCACAAGTTTTTTAATATAGGCTGATTCGGTCTATTATAGAATGAATTATTTTTTTTAATAGACAGAAAACTAACAGACATAAGATTTAAAACAAAGTAATACTACACAGGAATAAAGACAAAAAGAAAAAACAGTACTAGTAGACATATACAGAGAGAGGTTAAAGGTACCTGTTAATGTTACAGCTAGCAATGAAATAATATAACTTAGGATTCAATGTATCTTACCATCGAGTTGGTGATGGGGCACAGATCAAGATCCTTTCCCTCAATCCTCAGGGACGTAACCACGGATTTGCGTCCATAGTCCAGGGAGAAATCTCCCACACTTTCAGGGTGTGTGTGTGTGTAGAAGGCTTCTACCTCTGTGATAACTTGTATGTCTTTTACAGTTTGTAAAACAGTGTCTCTCAGTCAAGAATATTTCCTTTATCTCTTCCCACATCTGCTCTCTAGACTAAGAATATGATTCTTAGCTGAGGTCTGAGCACTTCTGGTGCCAGGGATGACCTCTTGCTGGGCCTTTCAGCCCCTAGGTTATCTCTTTATAGACCAACTGTCAGTGGTAGAGAGGAGGGTGTGATAGATGTCCTGCCACAACTGGCTGGCAGCATCAAATTTGACTCAACTCATGTCAACATAAAAAATTGACATTGACTGATATTGCACATAGGGGATTAATTCCCTTATGTTTCACTATTTAAAAATTACAAAAATTTGTAATATTCTACAAATTATTAAGATCTTACGGAATCAGGCCTTGACGAGGGATTTCACCTCCAAATGTTCACTACAGAAATATTCCAGTCCAGCCTCACATCTGTACTAAAGTGTTATACTGCTGAAGGCACATTTGTCTTCACTTAGGAAGACTCTAGAGAAAGAAATCTTTGAAGGCACCTTAACATGGTTGCTCTGTTTATTCACTGTATAAGTAAGCTATAGCTGTGGTTTAAAATAAAGCAGATATAATTTTATTTAATACAAAACTTGTTATCTGTCCATATGAAGGCTTGCACTACATTTTGTGATTTGAGGGAGTTTTATTCTTTTGATGCCATTTGATTTTATTTGATTTGATTAGGGTATTCTGGCTAAATATTATGACTGTAGGTAAAATGTTCTTTTCAGGAGAATACTCTGTTTACAAGGTTTTCAGTGAAAACAGGGATATTTTTTCAGACGCTATGGATATTTTTCTTTTAACATTTCTTGAGGCAAAAAAGGCTGGGGATAAATAGTAAAATTTAAATGTAAAATTGATAGTAAATTATATTTAATTGAAATAGCTTATAAAATAAATTGTTTCATTGAATTATTTCACCCAATAAAAATTATGCTTTGTAAAGAGACTTAATATAGGATTGCTTCATTATTTTTTCTTATTATGGTAGTTTGGAAAATTATTCTAAAATACATCTCTTAGGTCTGTGTTCATATTTTCACTGTCACACATGCCGAGCCCTTGGCATCTTCAGCGCCTTAAAATTCTGGTTTACAGGCTAACTTATGACACTCCCCTTCCATTTCTTGTCTTTTGTAAGTCTGCCCTGAAGCCAGTATTGCCTTGCTTACTAAAGTACTACACTTTGTGACAGTCTGTGTGACAAAAGGATAAAAAGATAAAAATTACCAAAATATATAAGGGATTTTGGTATCTTGGGTGTTTAAACATTGTGTATGACATGTGAATCTGTGAGCACTGTTACATCCTGTCATCATGGATTACACACAGAGCTCTCCTTCAAAGGAAAGTTGCTGTATGTGACCATTGTTATGGTGCTTTTCCTAACAACTAAAATCAGTTCCTGCCACTAAGGAAACAGATTCCCCAGTAATGTTTTACATGTGAAGGTAGCCTGCTATGGGAGCTATATGAAGGCATTAATATGGCTTTACAAATTGAAGTATGTTCTCAGATTTTCATGCATTATTGCAACACTTTTCCTAGCAGCCTTCACGTTAGCACAGTTTGCACTCTCTGCTGCCATCAGTCACCCATGGTAATAAATGCTATTCATGTGATGAAGTAAAGTGTTTTTTTCTTGCACTGTGTTATGTCTCTTGACGTAATGATCCACATTCATCCTTTGTGCATCTGCAATGGTTACACTGGAGGCCTAGTTCACACACAATAGAAGATACTTCCTGAGATGCCATAGATTTTCCTATATGATTTAGGATTCAATTGTTATTTAGCCAGAGACTTTGGTACAGTGCAGCTAGGTTGTACCACCTTCTTTGGAGATATGTGTCTAAATGAGTCACCTCAAGTCTCTTATTTCTTGGAAAAGAGAGAGCTGATAAGGATAACTGAAATGCTTTCCTTAAAGTTGAGGCAAGTTCTAGCTTTGCCTACATAGTTTTGCATTGCTCCTTGTTTAAACTTTAGGCATGAGATTGGATTGGCTCTACTCACAGACAGAAGAGGACAATGAATTACAAGGCAGACTGAAAAGTGCAAGTATTACTAAAAGCTGCTTCAGCCTCATGTGAATGAAATCTCAAGCTGAATCACTGTCATATAAAAGCATGACTCCTTTGGGCATATACCCTTGTAAGATATGATGATTCAGATGAAAAATATTTGAACTTTTCTCTTTCTGGATATCATCTTTGAATTTTTAGATAGGTTAAAGCACATACTAAATTTTTTTTTTTCGAAATTCTCAGTTATTGTACCCACTTGATTAAAGTGCCCAAATAAAACTATCTTATCACACAATAACATAGTTCTAAAACACACAAATACTTGCAAGTATATGATTACTTTCTTTGCTTAAATTTTTGGTTTCCATAACAAAAATCAGTAATGCAACCAGTTTCAGGCTTCAATTAGGTAAAAATATTTTGCTAGAGACAGATAAAAAAACCTGTTTTAGTTAACCATTTTAATGCACAGTTGGTTTAATGTAGATGTGTGTCACAAGTAATCAGCTTAGAGTTTAGAGAATACTCAGTATAGCTACTCTCACATATTTGTAAGATTATGTAAATCTTTCAAGGTCATCTGATAATGTGACATTTAAACTGACTTAAAATGAAATCTCATGAGAAAAAGCTTACTTTATAAGATAGAAAACTAAAGCTTTGAGAACAAAATTAAAGAGCTGGACTTATTTTTCAATTGGTTTTGAATTAGGCATGGAAATGGATTGGGGGAAAATCTCCATTTCTCTTATGATTTGAAGGGTTGTATGCAAGTATGCAACTACATGGATATTGGGTACTATGGATAGTTGTATGTAATCTGAACAGACAATGCAGTTCTCAAATGAGTCACCCATAGGTGATCATTCTTACCTATAAGATGGAGAAATTAAGTTCTAATATGCAATTCTTATAAAAGTTTACAGGGGTTATTTGGGCATCAACATCAATATTCCTCATCATTGTATATTAAGGCTCATGATTTCTTTGTATATTGAATACTTAGAATTTCTAAACTGGCCCTTTATAAGGTGTGCACAACCTGTACCTCTGAAGATTTCTGTAGGCCATGTGGTGTATGTGGTATTGTATGTGATTTTTTTTGTTGTTTTGTTCAGGAGAGTGTTTTGTTTCTACAAATGACAACATCTTGAAGAAAAATGTGCTAATCTCCAAGGCATGCACAATTATTAAACAAACCACGGGCATATTGACAAAGGGTGCTAGATAAATAAAAGTACTTTTGAGAGCAT